AACCACCTTTCAGGTAGTTGAAGGCTACTATTAAATACTCTCTGTCTTGTCTTCTTCAGACTAAATGGGTGCCTATACACGACAGTTTTTGCCATTTAAAGCATACTAAAGCCGTCACTTAATACATGTGGGTGACTTTAGAACGTTTTTAAATTGGCGGAAGTTGCCATTGTAAAACACGTACAGCAAGGTTTAATTAAGGCAATTTCTACCATGTATAGAGTCTGATTCTTGGAGGGTCAACTTTAAAGTTGCCAATTTAGAATGGTAGAAGTTGCCTTAATTAAATCTTGTTATGTGTGTTTTAAATCACATGGTGCATAATCTGAGTAAGATGGGGGTACACAGTTGTAACTGGGAGTCTATCTTGAAGTGCAGAATCTTTATCTTTTCAACAACCAAACATAAACGGGAGAAAAAACCCAAAAAACATCAGAAAATTAGGTTTTATAGATTGAAGGCTGAATTTGCAAGGTTGGCAGATAAAATCTTTTAAAACAGTGCACTGCTAATATATAAACATTGGAATGCTACAACAACATTTTTATTCAATTTTTCAGAATAGAAATCCATTTTAACCACATGTAGACCAGGACTGAATTTCTTGCATCTCCTTCTCTCAAGAGTGAACATTTTAATGGATCTCTTTTAAGTCTGTTCATTTGAAAGAACCCTCCGAATTCTCCAAGTCTCCACTATAGCCCTCCACTGTGAAACCAGAACTGCATACTGCGGTTAGACTTAGACTTTATTTGGAAGTCTAGGAGAGTTCTGTAATGGAGGTATCATGCATCTCCTGGGATTTACAATAAGTATAGTCTTGTTTACATGCAGAGCCCTGTGTTCTCTGTAGAAAGCTTGACCTAATACTATGGCAAGGAGAAACAAAGTTTATGTGATACAAGGTTTTAAATATGAAAATGAATAATACAATCAGTATTGTGATCTGATTTATTTTTATGTAATTAGTTTATTTTACTTTGTATTAAATTACATTTTTTTGATTGACAGTGCAGAACTGTACTGTCGAAATCTGTTGTTACGGAAAAGATGGAGTTTTTTTCGTAGTGGCATAGGGTTTAGCATGCCATGTCAAGGCTTGCACCTTTCCACCCTGGAGCCTTGCCACTACTCCAGTTTCTTCTGGGGCCCACAGCAACTTCCATGTGTTGTGGCGAGAAAAAAAGAAACCTTCATTGCACTCCCCTAACCATGGGAGTTTCATGGTGCAAAAAAAAAAAAAAAAAAAAATCCTGCAGGTTGGGTCCCAAGCATACAGCGAGGATTAAACTAGTAACTGCAGCTCCAAAGTAAGGACCCTGCCCCCTAAGCCAGACAAGTAGGCCAGTGACATGTTCGCTCCCACACTGCCTTCCCCAGCACCACAGTCACATACATAAGTTTACCCACCTCCAGCCCACACTTAATAATAATAATAATAATAATAATAATAATTAAAAAAAAACCCCAAACCCCTTCTCAGATGGGCCTGTACCCTGCAAAAAGAGGCCACAGGCACCCACCAACATCCCCCTTTTGCCAGCCAGCATCATGCACAGCCTAGGAGATACAACAATAGCCTCCACGGCTGCTAACTTCTTGCTGCTCGGGCCTCAATCATCTCAGCTGCCCCAAAATTCAAAAACTACAAAAAATCCGCCACATTTTGGCCCCCACAACTTTCCCTTCCTCACACACTCCGAGTGCTCTGATTGAAGCAAGGGCCTAAATCTGGGCCTTGGCGTGGCACGACATGAATGCCAGTTTTCTGCTTCGGAAAAAAATCAAACCCTTGACAGTCAGACCTGTGTCCTTCAAGTAGAGACCACGTGTTTGGTTTTGAACTGACAGCCTGTTGGTTCTAGAGTCTGTATAAACCCCTAAGCCAGAGTGGAAGGGCAATTTCAGGGCCTGTCCCAATGTCCCTGCATGCACCATGACCATGCTTACATACATATGTTACCCCATCACCACCCTATGCAATTTTTAGTACTAGTACTACTACAACTACTAAGAAAAAAAAAAATTTCACACCCTTGACCAACGGTCCTGTGCCCTGCAAGAGGAGGCCATAGGCACCCATAAAAATCTTTCTGCATCCTAACATCATCATGCAGTGACACAACAAAAACATACAAGGCTGATGGCTTCTTCATGCTTGGGTCTTAACTGTCTCGCCTGCCCCAAAATTCAAAAACAGCAAGAAAAACCATTTTGGCGCCACGAACTTCCCCTTCCTCAGAGGCGTGTCGAGTGCTCTGATTGAAGCACGGGCCTAAATTTGGGCCTCATCGTGGCATGCCAAAACCCAAATGGTTTGGCACGGCATGCTGAGGCCTGCACCTTTCCACCCTGGAGCCTTGCCACTACTCCGATTGCTTGTGGGGTCCATGGCAGCTACCATGTGTCATGGTGAGAAAAAGTTTCCTTGTGCGCCCCTACCCATGGAGCTTTCAAGGCATGTGCTTGGTCTTGAACGCACATCCTGCTGGCTCTAGAGTCTGTATGCAAACTCCTAAGGTAGGGGGGAAGGGCAACATAAGGGGCTTTCCCATGTCCCTGCCTTCACCATGACCATGCTGACATACATACATTAGCCCCCCCCCCACCCTATACAACTACTAAAAAACTAAATAAATAAATGTACTCTGTAAATGTACTAGAATGAAGGCAGGGAGCAGAGCAGGGGCAGGACACTGGTGAGAGAAGAGGCATCAGTTGTCACTGCAAAGAGCCAGGGTAACCCTTCCCTGGCACTTCAACTATTGCCAAATTCAGGGCTCACTCACCATAAAAAACTGCAGCAGCTGTGGGGGTAAAAAAAGATAAGCTTGGATCTTGGTGGTGCCACCTCCTTTTGCAGCAGTGTCCTGCTCCTTTTCTGCTCTGTAGCCACAACCAGAGGTTTGAACCCCCTGCCTCCATTCCGGTACTCTATCAGGTACACCTTTGGGTGGGCATGGAGGCAAGACAATCAGCAAGACACTGGGCAGGGGGAGGGAAGAGGGAAGCAGCTTATCTTGTGGGTTGCCTGCCAGAAAAGGTTGGTTAGCACTAGTCTATTTCATCCACTCCTTTCCCCTTCTTTGCCATCTTACCTTTTTTTTTAAACAACTACTATAAAATATCCATGCACAGGGAATGGTAAAATGAGAGAACCCTAGCACCACTACTTTTCTGGGTGTACAGTACTTTTGTATTGTTTTATACATTGGCGCCTAGAACTCATTTGGCTTGGATCATTCTGATACTTAGTCCTCAATGGCTCAATGTCTATTTGGGAGGAGGTATCAAGTGGGGTTCCCTAGGGGTCTGCCCTGGTTCTGGAATTGTTCAGCATCTTCATTAATGATCTGATGGGATTGAGTGCCCGCGTAGCAAATCTGCAAACTACACCAAGTTGCGTAGAATTGTGGACATTCCAGAAGGCAGGACTAGGATTCAGAATGATCTGGATGGACTGGAGAAATGGTATGCAGTCAATCAGATGAGATTCAATAAGGATAAGTGCAAAGTCCTCCACTTGGGACAGAATAACTGCATGGTCAAATACAGACTGGGGAATGACTGGCTAAGTGGCTAAGCTACAGTATTGCAGAATAGGACCTGGGGGCTGCAGTGGACCATAAGATGAATATGAGCCAACAGTGTGCTTTTTGTTGCAAAAAAAAAAAAAAGCCAACAGCATACCAAGTTGTATTAACAGGATTGTCACTTGAAAATCGAGGGAAGTGATTCTTCCTATCCATTCAGCACTAGTGAGGCCTCACCTGAGTACTGTGTCTAGTTTTGGGCTCCAAACTGCAAGAAGGATGTGGACAGTCTAGAAAAGAGTCCAGTGCAGGGCAACAAAAATAATTAGGTGCCTTGGAGGCAAGACCTATGAGGAAAGGCTGAATGAGTTGGGGTTTAGCCTGGAGGAGAGAAGACTGAGGTGGGGATTTGAAAATAGCCTTGAAGTATCTGAAGGATGATTATAGAGAGGATGGAGATGGGCTTTTCTCTGAGGCTCCAGGGGACAGGACTAGGAGCAATAGCCTCAAACTTCAGCAGGGGAAATTCAGGTTGGAGACTAGGAGGAACTTTCTGACTCTGAGAGTCATCAGGCATTGGAACCTGCTATCTAGAGAAGCTATGGCATCTCCATGCTTGGAAACTTTCAAAAGCAGATTAGACAGACACTTGGCTGGGATGGTTTAGTCAGGGATGATACTGCCTTGAGCAGGAGGCTGGACTAGATGACCTTGTGGGGTCCCTTCCAGCCCTACTTTCCTATGATCCTCAGACAAAGCATAATAGTCCAAAAACACAAAAATGAAAGAAAGCTTAGCAGATTGAGACAAATGGTTAAGAAGATTTTCAATAGTTCACTCTTCCTGCAGTGATTTGAAACTGAATTTAATTAAGGTAGAATATAACTATGATCATAAAATACCAGTCTAGTTTACTGAAGGACTAATTAGCTCTAAATAGATAAATCACAGATTTTAATTTAATATAACAAAAAGAAAAAGTGACATACAAAAAGAGCTGGAAAGATAGATGACTTGCCAAATAAGATGAATAAATACCCAGGAACAACATTCTGCAAAATATGTTCAGGATTTAGGATTTTTATTATGATTCATCCTCATCTAATCGTATCATGAGACTGTTTTTTTTAAATGTGATTATTCAATTTAGTTTTATCCAGATTGTATCCAAAGAGCAAACTTAATGATAAATTAAGATTTCTTACGCATAACTATTTTCAACCCTGACAACTATAAAGGTTAGTTAGTGCCCTTTCCCCTCAACTTGCATTAGGAGTGACTGCATGGATATGACTGCTAAGTATCATGTTTAGGCATTACATGATTGGAGCCTTATTAATTTTAACAACATTTCTTCTACAAAAAGTTACTTGTTTTAATGAAAACTGAAAACTAAGTACCATTATCTATCTGTTCTTAACCATGTTTACAGATATCATACCACAGAAGAGTTAATCTTCTGCCTACCTCAGTGAGTGATGTCCTGAAATATAGTCCACTTTCCCATATTTTTGGGTATGGTAGCCATGTTTCTGCATGAGGTCCATCCATGTTGTGTAGTTTGACTCCAGGCCTTTGAAGTTATTCCAAGATTCCGTTAAATGAGTGAAGAGACCGCTCCACATAGCTTTAAAAAAAAAGAGCACATTTCACAAACAAGTATCTAACAATGTCTTTATAAAACAATATGTATAAAAAGGTTTTTATATAGGACTTTGCACTTCTCTTGAACCTTTCTTCTATAGAGCTTAATACATGATAAGTACACTGGAAAGTATATAAATGTTATCTTCATTTGACAGAGCAGAAAATTCAAGTACAGAGAGTTAAAAAGTTAACACTAAGTCAGTAGAGCAGGGAATAAAATCTAGATCTCCTGAATCCATGACATGATCATGATTTTTTACTTTAATTGTAGTAATTCTTAACCCTAGTCATGGACCACAACCCTGTCATTCTAGCCAATGCACGATCACTAACACAAATTTCTCCTGCTAGAAAATTAATATTTTTATTCACTGTAGAAATAATATAATATTCTAATATAGGCCTCTTGCAGCAAAGCACTAAGCAGCACATGGTTAAGTGAGCAAGCAGCTCCCTTATTTTCAATGGACTTTTTGAAGTTAAACATATATGTGGAAAATGAGGGACTTAAGGGGTACTTTTTTTTGTAATGCCATGTGATCCGGTTGATAGTAATTTACCCAACTTCCAGGTTAGGTAAATTAAAGGAGGCTGTTAAATCATAGGAAAAGAAATTACTTTTAAGACAGAAACCAAAAGGATATGAAGCTTCAGGCAGAAGACCTGAAGGAAACAATGGAAAAGCTGTCAATTGGGGAATACCACTGCCTTGCTTTGCTCAGCCTAAAATAGGTCCGTCCCAACCCTGCACCGATCAAGCCTAGGACAAAAGGGAAACCTACTCCCTTTCCCCCCACCCCCACCAAAAATGTTGGCAGTAGGACTGAGGAAGGGAAGTGGGCTGTTAGTAGATGGAAACTTAAACCTTGTTTGACTGAGAGATGCAAAGAACCTCATGCAATCAGGATAGGTTGGCTGTCCCAACATAGAGGTAAGCATAGGCTGGCTCTCCCTGAGCTATGCATCACAACATAAAGTAAAATTTTAATCAATTTTTCTGAATACAGTATCTCTCTGAAGTATGAATAAATAATGCTTTGTTTGGAAGACACTGCCTCTGTGTCACTATAAACACGTAATACCATAAGCTCCCAAAAGGAAATTCTTACAGATGCCTAAACCTGATTGAGCTTATGTTGTTAATGAATAGAAAGGAGGAGATGCTGCAGTCCAGAGATCCTTACAGAATCTGACCACATGGTTTCACCCAGAATGGAAACCAGGCTTGTCATATCAGAGGTGCATTCAAGAGACTAAAGAGGTCTCAGAAGTACTTCATCCTGGGGCCTTGACAATGTACATGAATGCTTCACTAGAAGCAGTTCTTACTGCATTCATTTTCAGAATTAAAACATTACTGATATTAATGCAGCAGGTACCTTTAGGGTTACTGTTTCTATCTGTAACAGGTCCAGTGCCCCAGAGGTGGCCGTCATGCCCCATGGTGGCAACTTGGCTCCTGCACCGATCTCTAAGGTACCCTCCCTTTGCTCTTGTCTTCCACGACTTGGTTTTATTAATAAACCTGGACATGGAGGCTGCTTTTGGCAAGCTGTTAGCCTATCCTCTTGCCCATGAATCCCTCTCAGACCCCACTGTTCTCAATCAGTCCTTCTCTGGTGGGCCCTCTTGGCCTGCATGTGTTCCTGAAGGGCACCCATTGCCTTATGTGCTAATCACTGCCTCCAATTTACCCTGTAGCCATGCGCATGCCTTGCAGTTGTAACAGTCAAACAGTTCAGTGGGCCCTAGGCCCCACTCTCTGGCCCTCTCTGGGCACCGGGGTCTCTCTCTGGCCCCATCCCTGCTGCTGTGGGACCCTGGCCCTGGCTCTGCCCTCCACAGACACTGTACTACAGCTTGCCCTGGCCCCCTGGCAGACTCAAGCCTCCTGTGCCTTGCTGGCACTACTAAGATCTCCTGACCTCCCATACAGTCCCAAACCCAGTCTACTGGTTAAAATTCAAACCAAAACATAAGTGCACTAGTTATAACTTAATTCTCTAAGCACACTGGCTATCTTCTGAAATCCCCATCCATATTGAATCTAATCCCCTGCCAGCCCTCAGATTCTCCCTGATATCTCTCAGGGATAGCAGGATCTCAATCAGTCTCTCATCAGCAGACATCTTACTACAGAGCTCCCTCTTCAGCCTCGAGGGACAGACTGACTGCTCAGGCTCTGGCCCTGGCTTATATCCCACCAGAGCCCCGCTTCTTTCTGGTCATGTGACTTCCCAGGTTGTCTACAGGCATCTTCTAACTAGCTTTGCTTACTGGCTTTCAGGGTAGCCTATAGTAGCAGACCTAGCAATTGTAGCCTCGCTGTGTCTCATACACAAGACTAGTACCAGGAATCTGCTAGCACTGCAGTAGGCTTCTTGCTGCTAACACCGATTACTCTACTATTGCTGTACAACTAGCACAATAGGTGAGCTCCATTCCTGGGCTCTGGCTGCCTATCTCTTTACAGCTAGCCCCCTCTTTGTCTGCCAGGGCACTGTTTGTCCTTGTTGTTCCCTCTATGAGTATCAGGAGCCATAGGTTCCATTACACCACTCCTCTGAAGATTTAGCAAGAGATCACTGAACTAGTTACACTTAGTTCATAGCTGGAAAGTTTTATTTACAACCATAATGGCTAGAAATGTATTGGAATCAGGGTTTTGATTTAGAAGCATTATTTTCTATCAAATGCTGTATACTACAGGGTATGTTCTTAGAGCAGTAGAACCAACCTTTTAGGCCCACACCCTGCCCACCACTCTAATCCTCTTCCCCCTCCAGTCAGCTCCTCTGCTTTCTGCTTCCTACCCTATATGCCACTGTGCTGCCTATTCCATCCCCATCTGCCATATGCCACACACAGAGGCTGCCCATGCCACTTATGATACATATGCCATAGGTTTGCCACCCCTATTTTAGAGAACACATGAAGCATTGATTGCATTTGTCTGAAACAATAGAAAAAGCTGAAAATCAATCTAATGTGTTTAAATAATAATGCCTACTTTAAATACAGGCTATTTTTTCAGAACAGATGTTTCAGAAAGTTGATAACTCAAGGCAAAGCAAAACATTTCAGCCCAAAAGGCTGTGTCACAACAGCAAATTGCCAGGGCCACTGTATTCTTAAATATCCTCAGATGTACTTAACTCTGAACGAGATTTGCAAGCTCAGGAATAGTAATAGTAGTAGCAACCGTTGATCCTTCTGAATCATGGTGTATGCAAGGTCACCAGGAATGCATTTGCCTAGGTAGAAGTATGGAGGAGTGCAGGTTGGAAGAAATAGCATGACACAGAGATTTCTTTGGTTGATATCTTTTATTGGACCAACTACATAGTTGGAATAGAGTTAGACAAGCTTTCAAAAGCAAGACATTCTTCATCAGGTCTGAGAGGCAGAAAAGTGAGAAAGAGAAATGGATAAATCTTCAAAAGACCAGGCAAAATTCAGATATGCACTAAAAATGTGGGGCTTAACCTAATCAAACCTTCTGAGGTTTGCCCAAACAAAATGCATATTTAAATTTATTCCACATAGGTACTTATTATTTTTAATAGGATTTTAATATGGTCTTACCTGCCCGGGAGGGACAACAAATTGGTGAATTGGTATAAGCATTGAGAAAGAGCGTGCCATGTTTTTTCATGAGATTTACAAAAGGCAAAGTCACAGTGAGATTGCCTGGATAAAACGTCAGCCTTCCATCCTGCAGTCAAAGAGATGAGTTCAAATATTAAAATAAATAACAACAACATTTTCTTTAGTTATTAGAAATACACATCTTAAGATGATGAGACAAAGCTACAGAATAAGGCAAATTTACTATTCTGGATGTAATGAAACAAACATCAAACATATTTTGAATGTCCAAGAAATATATATAATTCTGATCTTGTAGATTAGATGAATAATGAAATCCTCATTGCAACCACAGTAGGATAAAAATCTGCACTTATACAGTCATCAAACTGATTAATAGAAGCATTAGGTGAAAGACACTGGAAGTGATAGTGCTTCTCTACTTGGTACTGGTTAGGCCTCATCTGAAATGTTTGTACAGTTCTGGGCTCCACATTTTAAAAAAGATTTGGAGAAGTTAGAGAGAATCCAGAGATAGGCAACAAAGACAAAGGGCTTAAAACACAAGTAATACAAAGAGAGGCTGAAGGAGCTAGGTATATTCAGCTCACGGAAGAGGCACTTAAGAGCAGACATGATAGCAGTCTTCAAATACTTGAAGAGCTACCATAAAAGAAAGGGAACGCATCTTTTCTCTATTGCTGCAGAGAGAAGAACATGGACCAGTGACCTCAAGCTGCAAGCAAAGTAAGTTTAGATTGGATATCAGGAAAAGAAACTGAGGCAATGGAACAGATTATCTAAGGAAGTTTTGGACTCTCCATCACTGGAGGTGTTTAAAAAGAGGTTAAACAGCCAGTGGTCAGAAATGAATTAGGCATAGCTATGCCTATGATCTGCCATGGGTATTTCCCATGCCTATGGGCTTTGCTGGTTGGCCCTTCCCCCCACTTTCTGCTACATGTGCCAGGGTGTTTTTAAGCCTCCCCAGAGCCATTGGGTGCTGGCTACAGCCAAGGCTAGGAATTTGAATAGGGTGTGCCAGTATCCCTGCTGGAACCAAAGCTGGAGGTTCCTGGCTTGTCAGTGGGTATTGTCCCTCTGCCCAGAATCAAGCCAATCTCATATTTGGGGTCAGGAAGGAATTCTACCCCACGGTCAGATTGGTACAGACTGTGTAGATTTTTACCCTCCTCTGTAGCAGGGGATGTGGCCCTCCACTTGGGATCTCTTGAGCATGTATTGAGAAACTTTTATAGAAGCAGGACGATGGTTGTCAAGATTCCCCTGCTTTACCTGTGGCAGGCCCACGGTATTATGTCTGTGTTGTGTCAGGGCTGACTGGAGTCTTATGTAAAGTTCAGATTATGGATTGTTTAGGATGGTTTGGATAGGGATTATCCTGCCTCGGGTTGGGGAGTGGGGGTAGATGGTCCTTTCCAGTCCTACTTCTCTTATGATTCTATGAAACCTTGCACTTAAAAGCCCCTTTCACAATTTATTCTGAAAACCTCTGATACATGATTTCACCAGCTACCTGTGTCTAGTCTTTCACTTGGACAGGCTGACTGAGGAACCATCTCCAACAGCCTCTGAAGTATTTCTCCCAAATTTGCAATCATCTTCATCTCAAGAAAGGTTTCAAATTAGGAAGTGGTACGGGACATTGCTACATTGGCAAAGGATCTCTCCTACTCATGAACATAAACTGTCAGAATCATGTGAATGGTAACAAGGCATGGCTGAGTTGCATGGTACTGGTGGTCAGGGTGAACTGGCCTCAGTTCTTCCCAGGCTGATCCCAGAGAATTATGACAAGGGACCACACCTTAAGGCTCTTGCCTTGGAAGAACTGCATAGTTAATATTTTTCCTCATCTTATACATGGTATATTTTTATCCCTTAGCACAGAATGTGCAATTAATTGGACTTCATGACTTTGCAGCCTGAAACCAAGACTCAGCTCTACAAGTGTTTCAAATGAATGCAAGATAGCATTATCATCTACCTTGCCCTTTACCTGAATGAGACAAGTACTTGGAAGAAGAGCATTGACAGCAACTAAACCTGGGTAAGTAACATGCTTAGTTGTTTAGGAATTCAAATTGCCTTTAATAATTGACAGTCTTCCATCCAGGAGTCAAGATGATGATTAGTCTGGGGCATTCACCATTCTTGAGTGGTCTGAATGATGTAATATAGACCTGACTGCTGGGATCTGAAGATTCCTCTCCTCCAAGCTTGACTACTGGGATGCTGCTTTCCATAACCCAGGATGAAAGTAAAAGCCGTAAGGAAACTCCAGTTGCTCCAACATGAACTAGACCAAGGGTGTCAAATCTACAGCCCAGAGGTCAGATATTGCCTGCTGCAGCAGTAGGTCATCCAGCCCACAGGTCTTCTTGAGGTTCTACTTCCACAGGCCAAATTCATCCTGCAGGACTTTTGTTGCTGCAACTGCTGGAGCCCCTGTTGCAGTAGTGTTAAAATTTCAGCTGTTTTGGTGCAGCTCAGGAACTGAAGCTACTAGGCTCCCCAACACCACACTGTTACCCAGGCCAAAATTGGGGATTTTACTTGCCTCTGGCAACTGAAATCAAGGAGAGAGGAAAAGATGGCAAGTGGCAGGAGCATTAACTCCCTGGGATCCAAAGCTGTGCTAAAACACCAGCCCCAGCAGTTGCCACTGCTTACAGATAATCTAACCTACAGTCTGGATCTGGCCTGTGGTGCCCAGTGCATTTGACACTCCTGGGCTAGACCACCCATCAAATAAAAGAAAATGAGAAAAAATGAAGCTCTGCATGCTAAAATAGCTCTCTTTCCACTCTCAGATTCAGTTAAGATCTTGATACCAACAGTCTAAGCTAGTGATTCTCAACCAGGGTGCTGTGGCACCCTGAGGTGTCTTGGGATCCTGTCAATGGTACCATGGGGTGCCATGCAATGTTAGGTGTGCAAATCTGATTCACATGAAAAATCCAGAGATTTCAAATAGGAATCAACAGTTTTAAAAACAGTTTGACCTGTTGTGGTCTGAGTTCTTTGCAACAGAAAAATTTCTCTATTATTTTTCTGTAGTCAAAAAATGAGTGGAAACTAGAGCCAGTATTTTCTGAGGGATGCCGTAAATCTTATCAACAGGTACCTTGAGCCTTAAAAGGTTGAGAACCACTGCTCTAGGCTCCGATTATCACAGAGATTGCTTCTCCTCCCATGACCTACCATGACATGGTTTGCCTATGCTATTTTAGATATTTACAGTGGCTTGCAAGCTTACTAGAATAAGGTCTTGATAGCACTCTGTTGTTAACCAAACTCCTAGGATCCTTTGCTAGTTATGTCAAAGGCCAAGTTAAACTTTTAATCTAGTTAACTAGCCTTAAAAATTCCTTAGTAAAAGGTTTTTCCTCGGGACTGAATTAGCTATTTATGTTTCCTCCATTATGGATAAACCAGCTACCAGTAAGAAAGATTTGCATATCAAATTTAGTGGTATTTTGAACATGCTTTTCCTTTCAGGTGATGTAACTGAACATATTCAATAGCACTGTGTGCCATAACCTAAGAGTAACCTAGGCATAAAGATATTTTGTAAAGTCATAGGCTGAGCTTATTCCATCACTATTGCTGCAGCATAAAAGGGGGAAAAAAACCCCACAAGAATGAGAGGTTAGCTTTTTTTGGCCTATTACTGGCATGTGCTTAATCTTGCTTGTGTGCATCTTCCTCTTATCCACTCCTCATTCCCTACTCCCAGTCAAAGTAAACTGCTTTCCAACTTGCAGTCTAAGATGCAGTGGCCTCCAATACACTTTTGAAAGGTTTCAAGAGCCCTTCGTTTTGCCAGTTTTTCCAACTGATGCTTTTATCATTAATACTTGTTATATTTTTAAAACAACCTTTCCTTCAACTATAAGCAACTTAAAACCAGCTAATTGTTCACATATGTAGTCTAGGTAACCACACTCTCCTTTTACTACA